CTCAATTTCGTTCCCGTTCGCCGGAGCTCGTAAATCTGGTGTGCTACAGATTTAGAGACGTTTGCCGTTGTATCTTTGGGGAAGTTACGCCTGAACCGTTAGCTGACACACAGAATGTATTCTTCTTGCGGAAAGAATTTTACTCGCCTCGGCTAAAATCTTTCCATTTTTCAGTTGTAATTTATTTTTTCAGTTCAATTGTAATTGTCTATTTATTAGATTATTTGTAAGAACTGAAAAAATACATATCATTTTGTAGGATTCCCGTGTAATTTCACACCGAATATCAAACAATCGCAAGAAGAATATCAGTCATCCTACTGAACTGATGGCATCCACCGGACCAGGTTTCAGCTCTCAGCATCCGATCAATCATGTACCTGTTGTCCATGTTCCTACAGCTGAAAAGCCCGAAAAATTCAACGAGCTTGACTTTAAGAGATGGCAATAAAAGATGCATTTTTACCAGGCCACTTTGGGTTTGGTGAAATACCTGAAAGACGACCCTCCGGTCATTTCTGAGAATGAGACCAATGCAGAACTACGCGTTGCGTACGATGCTTGGGGGCAAGGTGACTACCTTCCCGTAACTATGTCCTGAACGGGCTTAGTAACGAGTTGGACAATGTGTACAACTCTGTTAGTTCTGCCAAGGAGCTTTGGGCTGCCATAGAGAAGAAGTACAAGACCGAGGATGTCGGGGCTAAAAAATTTGTCGTCGGCAAGTTTCTTGACTTCAAGATGGTTGACACGAAGACTCGTGTCACAAGTGCTAGAGTTCCAGCTAATCTTGCATGATATCCATGCTGAAGGGATGACCTTGAGCGAGTCATTCCAAGTAGCGGCTGTGATCGAGAAACTGCCGCCATGCTGGAAGGACTTCAAGAACTATCTCAAGCACAAGAGAAAGGAGATGAGTCTTGAAGATTTGGTAGTTCGTCTTCGTATCGAGGAGGACAACCAGAAGTCATCAGGAAAAGTCCCGATGATGGAAGCTCGTGCAAACTTGTTGGAGCAAGGCAACTTGAGCAAGAGGAAGACCCAGAACAAGGGAAAGCAGCCAGCCAAGGTTTGGAAGTTTACTGGAACTTGTTACAATTGTGGAAAAGCAAACCATATGGCTAAAGACTGCAAGAGACCAAAGAAAGCTGGGCCAAACAAAGGGCAACCGAGTGCCCTTGTTGCTGAACACGACCCTATGCCGGGAGAATTGACCGACTTTGATATGTCGGCGGTGGTGTTTGAAGCCAATTTGGTGGATAACCCGAGAGATTGGTACATCGATACTGGTGTCACTCGTCATGTGTGTTCCGACAAGGAGGTATTCTCTGAATACACTCCTGCTACGGGTCGGAAACTTCATCTGGGAAACTCCTCCACGTCTGATGTGGCTGGAGTGGGCACGGTGGTGCTGAAGCTCACTTCTGGAAAGAAGTTGAAGCTGAAGGATGTTCTGCATGTCCCAGACATCCGCAAGAATTTGGTCTCCGGATCACTTCTTGTTGAGCATGGATTTAGGCTAGTGTTTGAAGCTAAGAAGTTTATTCTTAGCAAATATGGAATATTCCTTAGTCGTGGTTATCTCGACAAGGGTTTGTTCAAAATGAATGTAATGGCCGTGAGCCGTGTAACCGTTTCTAATGATAATAAAAAGTCTATTTCTGTTTATACCGTCGAATGCTCTGACTTATGACATATTAGATTGTGACATGTAAATCTAAATGCAATTAAACGGTTGATGTAATTAGAATTAATTTCTAATTCTAAAGTTGAAACAAATACAAAATGTGAAATTTGTATTAAAGCAAAAATGGCTAAGTTGCCTTTTTATTCGGTGGAAAGGAGTACTGAACCATTGGGCTTGATCCATACTGATGTATGTGATATGAAAAGTGTGCAAACAAGAACCGATAAAAAGTATTTTATAACTTTTATCGATGATTGCACAAGATTTTGCTACTTATATTTGTTAAGAAGCAAAGATGAGTCTGTGGAAGCGTTTAAGATATATAAGACCGAAGTTGAAAATCAACTCGGCAAAAGGATTAAAATAATCTGAAGTGATAGGGGTGGGGAGTATGTA